CTCACAACTGTTTTGATTAGGGGGACAGTCAAAGTTAAAAGCAGCCAGCTCATGTTTTTAAAAAAGAACGTCCAAGTCGTTGGGTTGAACAGCTTCAAAATCAGTTCAACTGGCCACCTGTAATCTCTGAAACCCTGGACAGTAAACCTGAAAATTCCGGTGGATTTGGAAATATGCGAATGACTTTTCTCCTTCGAGGATCATAAAATTACCGGTCCTGACGATTCGAGTGGGGCTTTCGGTCATTTTAAGCATTCTGATAAATGTTCAACTTCTCATTTTACTATCCATTATACAACGTGCAATTTACGAAATGCAATGTGCTGCATTTTGGTGCCAAGAACTCCACAAATAATTCAAATTTAACTCCGTTCCAATCAATAATGCAGTGAAGGAAACTACTCGCAAGGTTGCTGAAAACTCTTCGACAGTCCACGACTGGTTGTTTCGCCCTCTTGGGGCTCATCAGGTAGGCTCACTCCCCGAGTTTCATATCATAAACGAGATATTCAGTTGAGTATCTCGTGACAACCAAACTGATTTGCAACTTAGTGTAGTTCTCATATACGCAATAGTTTTACTTCTTTGAGTGAATATGGCGAGACGTTTATAACAGCACCCCATGTAAGTACACCAGTGTAAGCTACAAATCTTTTTTTTAATTCATTACAGCCACTGTTGGTCCTACTGTATGTTTTGGCAGTGCGATCTTAGCAGATGTTCTGCTTTTAAGATCTTTCTGCTTTCCCTGATAACGAACGAATGAATAGGGGAGACTTGTCTCTTCTCACTGAGCATCATTACAATTTGACATATAACTAACGCATCTTCAAGCACGGAAAAAATATGTTTTAGTGTGTTAAGCTCTTGCATTTCGGTAGTTAAACCTTCTGTCAAATTAAAAAATTCCCATGGCTCATCCGGTACCACCAATTTTTCAAACAAAATATCCTCTACTATCAACTATTACTGGATTGCAAACGTTTCCAACCGCAGTGCCAAAACCTGCCATCAGTTTATCACTAATCCAATATTTGGCAAACTAAAATGCTCAGGTACTGGCTGAGATGAGGGGATGATAAACCGCCCTTTGTGTCCCCTAATTTCTCCGTTTATCTAGAGTGCAATAGTTTTCGCTCAATAAATCATTCACATCGCCAATGTTATGCAGAGAGTGGACTCAGATCTATTTACCGCCTGACAATAGTTACACAGCTGAGCTGCCTGGTTTGTCATTGTGAAAGCAAGAAAATGCATACATTGCTGTATGTCTGTAGGTTTTTGTTGTGCAACAGTATGCATGGAAAAATTGTCTCAAGCGGTTGCCTTCCCAACCAACCATATTTTCCGATTTGTACAGCACTGAGATTCTATTTTTGGTAGCGTTTTTAACAATCTAAGCTGTCAGTTTTTGAAGATGGCCGCGGTTTGTATGTTTTTACTTGTTTAAATGAAGAAACAGAGCGCTTCGTCAAGCATATTATTTCACAATATATTGCAATATTCAGTATCTTCTATCACTGACTCAGAATCGTCAAGAGGGATACCGGAGTTGTGGCCGATGAAGAATTCTAACTGCTCAGGGTCGTTGCCATGACAGAGGATCAATGCAAGTATCTCATCTTTTGGCTGGTCTTCAAACGCCACAAAATGCACACATTTAGACCGGGCTGCTGAATCAAACTAACCCAAATCCTGAGTTGCCACTCCAGAGACCCAACACCAAACGCCAGCCTCTCGTCAGTCTAAGAGATGAGTTTGCAGTGACTGAAAATTACCAATCCTCTCAGCCTGAGATGATGTGCGAGACTATTCACGAACGACAATCCACTTCCGAATAGACTCCAAGAAAACGCTCTACAAAAACGGGGCCTTTTGCGATACTCTCCCCACCAGAAACACAGGTCTGGTGAAATCAAATGAAATCGAAAAATACTGGGAAGAATACTGCAGAAACAAATCTAGATGTTCAGGCAGATGCTCATCAGATGAAAGGATGAACTCAGTAGTCGTGACCACTACATTCAAGATGAAGTAAACTGGTGAACGAAAATATGTCAGGGGTGTTCTGCAGTGGTAAACTGCTAGCCCTCCAATAGAGAATTTTGGTTTGCCCTTCTTTCTAGGTTGTCGTCGAATCGCTGCCATCTAAACATGCTAGATGCATCATTCGTAATTCCTCTTCGATAATCCCAGAAGCCTGGAAACTGGACTGCCTTGTAACGTTAAACCGGATTCAATTTACTGTCGCATGCCATGACTAGATTACTGAGCTTCAACTCTTGGAGCAATCTGCCGTTAAAGTTTGCGGCAAAGCGTCTGAGGATGGCAACAATGCAATAACATAAAAGTCACACCCGAACACTATGAGGTTGCCACAGTTACGGCCAAAACCGAGGCCAATGGGACCACGCGTTACATCATAAGCCCATCCCATGTGTGACGTCCGATACCGGCAGCCCTTCTTAGTACTCTACAACGAATATCGTGGGTGGCCTATAACGTTGTGCCTGAAGCCTTTTCTGTTCAGCCCCCAACCCAGTGGTCTGACAGCGCTTTGCACTTTCACCCGGATTTCAAGATGTAAGACCAGCAGAAATGGCACCACTATAGTCCCATGTACTAGTGAATACCATCCACGATGAACTCTAGGTCGTTCATGATCTCAAACATGTGGTTTATGTCACACAGAAGGCAACAACACGTTACGGAAACCTAATGGAGACAGCAAAATGTAACCCTAGAAAGGAGCCACGTTGCCAACAACACCATGCAACTCAATCATCCGAGTGGTCGTCGGCATACACAGAGCCATCGGAGACAGCTTATATTGGCATCCCCATTAATCTGGGGAAGGGAAGCATCCTGATTTACCAGACATCAAATACAAGCTACAGTCGGACTACCAGCATCGTTAATAGGGTGTACATTGTTGAAGCTCTCGGAACAACCGAACGCCACGTCCATTGGCCAAACGAATCTCTGATCGCTCAATACATACGGATGTAACGATCTTCCCTTGTTTTACTGTAGTCTCTCTCCAGCTGCCGTTCTCTTTGAAATAATATAGTGCACGGGAGAGCACGCCAAGGGCTAACACTCCGATTGCAACCCCCAACAAAGAGTAATTGCCTGGGTCTCCAAATTATATCAGTCGTGTGTGTTCGCTCGCCCGTGTTACTTGCATGTGTCAGTTTTTACTACGTGTCCACTACAAGCGGGAACCAATTCCAGCTACTCAGGATCGACAGCTGAGAATGCGCATCTAGGATCATTTCCACAACCAAGTGTGCGCCTGAACCTACATTAGGGTGGGGGCATCACTCAGTGGTTGTTTTGTGCTACGAAACCTTTCTCAGCATCAGTAGTTTTCTCCTCCTAATCAGGTGTTATTAACTGGAGTTCGTTCTGATTTCACTTTTGATCTGATGACAATTCAGGTTTCTACAATCCAGTGAGAAAACTTCTTCCGTTATATCAACATACAGCTGATACTAAATTCTGAAGCAGACCTGGAAGTCTTTCAATCGGTTTGAACTGTGATTCCCTCTAGCCCGCAAGTGCCACCTCTGGAGGATACCACCGCCGCTGCTTTGTTATCCATCATAGTCGGCTGATCGCTGTTTCGTTTGTGCTGATTTTAGCATAGCGATTCAGTTTATTGCATGCCTGATGGAAGTGGAGCTGATGGAATCGAATTTGTTTTAAAGCGAAAGAAGTTTATAAGAACACTTGCTACATCCGAAATCGATTTCAAGTTCATAACACTAATCAACATGAAGAGCGCAAGGTTGAGTTCAGACCATTGTTCATAGCCGGAAGCGGTATCGACCAATTGGCAAAAGCCGTCATTGTGCACTCAGAAAAACCCCCGAATAATCTTCAGATTTCTGTGGTTGTTGAATTACTGGAACATGAAATTTACGATACGCCTAAGGGAGACCAAACGTTGACGGGCATACTTCAACTTAGGCGCATCGGTTTACTCCCTCATCCACAGCATACACTACTCCGTTCTCGAAACCATCATGCAATTGTCTATAAGTTCCAATCAGCCGCTTTCATTTCACAGCCTGGAAATCTCCTACAATCGGATTGATTGTTTTGTTTCACGACAAAATGTTCGTCCAATGTCCCTAATCCAAAAGGAGTTGACATTAGAACTACGCGCTTTGGGATAAAAATGTCGCGTGCAAAGTCGGTTTAATGATTTATGGTCCTCCTTCCTCACTGAAAACCTAGACAGCGTAGAATGAGTGAATGATTGTTCTGAACGTCAACGTGGTTGTGAATGTAAGCCCGGTTTGAATTAATGGCTCCGTCTACATGGATGGAGCTACGATGGTGATAGATGCAGTTTTTTTAATATTTAAGATTACAATCCACGTAGCAGGATATACTTAAACGCACAGTATCAAACAAGTGATAGAAAGGTGGAAAGGAATTCAACGGAGCAAAAATGCGTACAGAATGGAGATGCAAGATCCGTGTGTCTCAGTTGGAAGAGGATGAACTCTAGGCTATTGGCGACTTTGTAAAACAAAGTGTATGTGAGTGTGTTCATTGCACTCTTACCTTCTCGGGTATAGCTCGATGTAAAGCTACTTATTCTTGGATGCCGACGTATCGAGTGAACTTGCTGCAAGGGATCTCGTCAAGTTTTTACTGGGCAGTAAAATTAACAATTGACGATTCTGCGCCTTGTCATCGGGAAAAGGGGCAAAACGGAAGATGGTTTTAGGACGTTCACCATGCAAGTGCATCTGTCAACAGGCTTGTCGTATTCTTCCCCATGAAAATCCAGTTACATCAGCCCCAGGTTGGGTCGGATTCGCAAACAAGACGTTCCAATTTAAATACAATAAGCTGGTAGGATATGTGATCCCACAGATAAGGTTAACACAATCAGCGTTTTTCCAACAAAGACACTGTAGTTTCAAACCACCCATCCGTCCAGAAATGTTAAAATTCAATCTAATTCCCGATGAGCTCTCATATACCCTGTTGCTGGTAGCATAGTTCCGTTGACGGCATTTATCTTCTTCTTGATTGATCAAAGCGAACAATGGGATATCAACGTCATTGCTTGAACCGTTGTAATGCACGCGTCGTGTTTCTGGAAACACGGCGAAGAAATTTTTGCATAATTATACCAAGTCTGTCGATAGGTTTTGCTCCAATAGCTGAGAGACGAACTAAAAATCTGCATCAACATTGAGAAACGCCTAGCCAAGGAGAGGACTCACGGAACGAATTCCAATCAATGGAATCCGTCATAAAAATCTAGTGAAACAACAGAAATTAATTGAACATCTCAAGGGCTTTCAGAACTTTTTCAAATGTACCAAGAACTGAGCCAGCTCAAGTTCAAAAATTCTCAGTTGCATCTAAAACAATATCATAACTAATACACTCCCACGAAATGCAGAGGCCACAGTTCTCAGCAGTCCCTCTATGCGCAGGCTACCATCATTAGTGAATGCTCTTCCTCAACTATCAATGCGGAAACTTGATGGAAACTAAGTTAAAACCTAGATTACAAGCCTGATACGAACAAACTCGAAATTTCGGATGTGGCATTAGCTGTTTTGCTTACCGATCTGATCAGATAATTTAGTTGGACCCCCGGCAGCTCTTTCTCGGTTGATGTTATCCGATCAATAACAAAAGAATTACGTTCTTCATCGCCAAATTTCCTTGCCATCAGTGACCGTAAAACAATGGAAGATTTGGTTACTGATTCGTCAGACAAAAACCATCACAATCAAGCTCCTTTGAGATTAGATGCATTCGATTGTCCGACTTGCCAGATTTGACTACTAGATAGACAAATTTAGCAGACACCAACCTTCATATCGGCACAGCCTACCATGCTTCTATGACAGCAGAGAACGTGAAAACTGGCAGGTTTGAAACCATCTGAAGAAGAACCTACTTGATAATTTCAAGCGGAATTTTAATGGTTGCACAAGCAACACGTAATCAGGTCCAGCAAAAGTCTGCCCTAGATTCTAAATTGTTTTTATGCGCATACTCACTCGTGTGAACCCATGCACAGGAGATCAATATATGACGCGCATATTAATGCCCCTCGATGAATGAGACTGTGCAATCCGAATTAAACATAGCCTACAATTTGACATAAGTAGACAAGCCATAAACAATAACGAGAAATGAAAAACGGGTCACACATAAGACAACCAACAATTTCTGGTCAGAATAATGTCTGTTAAAGTGACTTTCTCACTTTCAAACGAAAGCCTGGGAAATTTGTTTCACTGTCATTTTTGCTGGTAACAGTAGACGAGAAATCGATGGGCGAAACATTTCACAAACGAGGAATCCTATTGGAGTCCACCAGATGTGTCAGACACTTGAGAATTCCTCAGTGCTAGGAAAGTTGCTTTAGCAAGAATAAACTTGATGCTAAGGATTGCTGCGTATACACAACTTAACATTTACTAGCAAGCTTGAGACAAAACGAAGGCTGAATTGCTTTCTAGTAATTATTGGTATTCCAACGCTGCTCGTTTGGTGTCATCGCCATTGATGGTAACAAGCTAAACAAATGTGCGAGCCTGAGGAAGGAAAGGGGAGGAGGAAGGAAGGGGAGAGGAAACCAAAGGAAACGGTGGGTTGGGTGCTTCGTGGAAAGGAGCTCTGTGGCCTTCAGAAGGTGCCAGTACAGTTCTGAGCATCACATCGAAGCAGAGAGCCGCAAGAGTGATTGGCTCGAAGTTGTTTGTGAAGCTCACCTGAGATAAGCCCTGTGCACGAGAGACGAACTTCAGCCAGACTGTTTAACTAGACGATAACAGCATGCGCGGCACCTGAACCAATTTCCATGAACATGCAAGGAGGACCAGGAAAGTGTGAAGATCCCACAACACTTAAACGGACTATGGGCACCTCCACTTTACGTCTCTATTCCATACTCTGCCCTCCGTGAGCATTTTAGCAACCATAGATTAGTACGGGAAGTGATCCTCTCCTTAGTATAGATGCTAATGGATGTATGGAACATGACTCAATCAACTAAACCTGATAAAGTTCGCTTGCTGATCCGCCACCGAGCGCCCGTCTACGCGCCACTTTGTTAATACTTGCTCCAGCCAACTGACTCATGCAACGCAACAAAGACATGACTAAGCAACAATGAGACAGTTCTAATTCGCACCATCCACAAGCTACAAAGTTTTCAGTGCTTTTGCGGGAAAGTTTGCGCCTTTTTAGGACAAGGATAAGTACTGATCCCACTTTTGAGAGCTGGATAAGTTTAAGTCAATTGATACCATTGTGTTTAAAATTTTTGGTGGTGCTTTTTCCCGATAAGAACAAAGAGATTGGGACCTGAGTAGCTTTGGAACTTTCCTAGTTCCTTTTTCTATTTTAAGTTTCTAAATCAATTGTGTCCCGGTTACAGAACTGTGTTTCGTCTGTTGCGTATATGACTGATGTGAATTCGACCTTATTTTGGCATGCTTTGCAAAGAAACTCAAGCGGTTCCAAACGTTTGAGCCCATATCGACTGAAAATCTTTCTCAAAGTGTGTCAGTCTTTATTATACGCCTGTTCGGGGGTTTTGTGCATCAAACTGTCGAGCGTACATCATGTATTTTGGGCCTCTAGCTATCTAAATCAGATGGAGGAACCATAAGCTACTCACAACATATAAGTACCCAGATAATTGAATAACATTTTCTGCCGTAACTACACCACACTGTCAGACACCATGATCTGCGATTCCGGGAAAATGTACACAATACGCTAATCTTAGGACGTCACGCCAAAATTCTTCAAAAACCCACTCATCGCCTGACGAAAACCAAGAATAAATATGGTTATTCTCAGCATTTTACGTAAAATAAAACTTGCTGCGAACAATCCAGAGTCCTTAAATCAGGGTGTGAAGATTCAGGAAATCCGAACTCTCGACTAAAACCAACCTTTTTCAATAATTACCTCAAATTGTAGTTCTTCTCCGGCAAGCTAATTGCCCTCTTGCTGGCGTTTGTTTTTCCACTTTCTAAGCTTCGTCTTTGAAATTCCCTTTCTACGCTATGTAGTGAAACTCAGTTCAGAAATTTTCCTCGGAAGTTTTGTTCGTTCATTCAGCCCAGCACGGTAGACAAGAACTCACTGCGAAACCGAAAAACCTAGCATGTACACGAATTCAGTAAACATTTTGGTAGGGTACCCCTCAACAATATTAGGACTCATGCGCTATGCCCGCGGACTCGTCCTCAAAAATGAATACTCTGTACATGGCTGAAAAAGCAGATTCCAATCACGTGCCTATTTCCACACTTTTCTGCATACACTATTCGCGGTCGTAATATCCTGCATGCCCCTTCACTTGATTTAAGAAAATCTTTGGCGGGACTGTCACAAACAGTGCACGAAAAATGAAAGGTGGTATTGTGAAAACTCCTGAGATACCGTTCACCATGACAGTGACAGTGTTGGACAAAAGCTCTGAACATCTTTTGGCTTGTTGTTACTACAGTGAATGCCAAAAACGAAAGCGTGGTAGATGAAACGGGAAATGAAGCGGAACAGTATGGGTCACAGCTGGACACGCGAATTGTTGTAGGCTAGAATTCCATCAACCTTCATTTGAATGTCAATAGTTGCTACCCTATCATGAACTTCCCGAAGCTCCCGCAGTAGACTTGCTTTCAGTCCAAGGTGGACGTACGTCCCACCGGCTTTCCGTCGCAGGCAGCATCGACAGGGTTTTTAGCAACAGTTCTGGATCATTTTGAAGAGACGAAAACAATCTCAGTTCGTCCATCACAATAGCTAAACCGGATAAAGCTACATTCAGTCTTTGCGCCATCCGACGAACCGAGTTTAATATATTCTGACGCAGCTGCAGATGGTTACAAAAGGACAAGCAATATAAGTGTAAGCAGAAACACGAAATGAATTGGAGTGGGCCTTCCACTTTTGGCAAATGGCCGTGCTATCTTGAGTCAAGTAAGAGTCTTTCAGTGATCACGGTGGTGATTGGCTTTCTATCCCCAAGCACTCACGAGAGAGATTGATGAAACCGCCCGTGGTAAATAGAGTTGTCATGGACAGCACAGTAAACCCGTAGGACAGTCAACCAGGGCGTATCTGGAACTTGTCACCTGACGACTAATGAATCTTACCCAAAGAGGTTCGACCTAAAGCACTGTGGACGTGTAGTGTCTGTAATCCGTTGTCACATCTACCATTCTTACTGAACTTAAACCACACGTTGTAACTGTCGTTCACATTGCATCATGACGTTTGTTTTAATGTTACGGATATACAATTTTCCGGTGCGACCTGCTGACTACTTGCTGAACGAGCGTATTTACGCTCCGTTGAACTGTTTGTTGACTGCTAAACCAGTGGGACTAAATCTCTGTGTTTGTGTCACCTGTTGAACGTCACAATAAACCCCTGTGACATTTTTTAGCCGTGAATAATTTTCCTACCGTGGAATATATCACGCACGCAGAACCATCTGTGGGAAATTTCGACAAGTGAATATTTCCTTTCACAGCCAGTCACTGCATTTGGATCGGTGTAGTGGACTATTGAATCTGCACATTCGTGAGTCCCCATTTGACTACTCATTCTTTTCCCATTGTGATTTTGTGATTTTGTATTGGTTACTTTGCTTGTTAATTTATCCGAACACGCTGATAAGGTCCTAGTCCGCTACAAACGCATTCACTCGTTTGGCAACGAAAACAGTCAGTTGCTGCGACCGCTTGACGTACATTCGCATATGCCGTTATTCTCAGGGAGCTTCTACGCGCAGTACGAACGAATTCGGGGATAACCTGGGAATGAAATGATCTCTATTACTACTTCTGTACACATAAACGTAACAGGTATAAAGCATATCCCAGTAAGACAAAACTGGCCCCTTGGGCACGCGGGAGACAAGCCGCACGCAGAGCTCCCTGCCAATAATGGTATAGCACATTAAAACAAATTGGTAGAGTGCTTACATTCTACAGGAACCTGGAAGTGCAGGGCATCGTAGTTTTTTATTACTACGAGACAAACAAAGAAACTTTACTGACACCTAAGTACATCGATCACCCTCGGCTTACAAGCCCTACTCTGGTGCAGAAG